TTTCTACGGAGACTTAAAATTTGTTTACCTTTCTACGGAGACTTACAATTAGTTTAAGCAGTGCTTCCTTACTTTCTATCTTTAACAATGATTTAAGTGCATGCTGATTACAATGTGTTAGATTATCAATAAGTTCAACAATGCAAAAACAAAATATGTGCTCGTTTCATGTATTTATCATGTAACCGCTAAAAAAATACAAATTGTTTTCATTGACTCAATGACCTTACTTAATTTGCTTATCCAACCCTGTGCTAAATAACGTAAAGAGGCACCCTTGTCTAGTCGAAGATGCGAACACTATTTTACAAGGGTAATATTCGATGAAAAAAAAGTATCAATACAATTATTGACATTTGCCCATGTATGATCTATTCAAAAACCTTTTAAAGGTGATAATTAGATAGTAAAATACCAATCTAGTGATGATTAGATAAAAGGAAAATCCGAATTTTGATAGACAAAAAGACGAAAACCCGATTAGTGGTTATTGTAAAATGGGACTATCTGATTGGCATTGACGCCAAATAAAGGGAAATGAGACATGGAAACTCCATATGAATGGGCTGGAAACTACAGCTAAACATAATTTCTTTGTAAGTCGAAACATACCTTTTTAAAATCCTCAAGCTGAAATTACAAAAACAAACGTAAAGTTATTACTTCATATTAACAAAAGATAAATATTCGGTTTAATATAATAATGACGGATTAAAATATCTTTTAACGATGCTTTTACGGAGACTTTTATTCTAAATTCAAAATTTACTCTGAAAAAGATAATGTAAGATACGCATGTGATTACACCTATAAAACTTTGAAATAGAAACAGAATACCAAACAATAGAGACACATTGAACCATACATCTGTTCAAAATTTATACCACTTAACAGTGATGTAAGGTCAAAAATGTGGAAATGCAAAGAAATGATTTTTTTGTCTTAATGGGAAAACTCGTCATTTGGTGCAGTAAAATGTTTGCTCTGTTTGACTCTCTACAAAGACTTACTAACTGTTAAAACAGTGCTTCCTGACTTGGTGTTACTAACAATTATTGGAATGCATGCTGATTGTAATGTGTCGGATTATGAACAATTCCACAAATGCCAAATATCATGTGTTCCTTGATGGATTTATCATGTAACCGTTTAAAATTCACGAACTACATTTTATAGACTCAATGACTTCTATTTTGCTAATCTAACCCTCTGTTTAATTAAGGAAAGAGACACTCTTCCTAGTCTAGTCGAAGAAGCGACCAATATTTTACAAGGGTAACATGACAATAAAAATGTCAATTAAATATAGACATTTGTCCATGCATGATCTGTTCGAAAACCTTTCAGAGCTGATATTGGATAGTAAGATAGCCAATCTAGTGATGACCAGATTGAAGGAAAATCCCTTTATTGATAGACGAATACGCGACAACCCGATTAGTGGTTATTGTAAAATGGGACTACCTGATTTGTTATAGTTGTTTGAATGACGTTCGACCGTTTTCTGAGCTATGCTTCGAACGCCAAAATAAAATCGATATTTCTGACGGTATATTAACATGCTAAAGGTAATATTTTCCAGAGACAAAACTGCAGCGGACTGTACTGATGAAGGTAGTACCAGCGTGCAACCATTATACTTAATATAAGAAAGTACGCCTCCCACAGACAGGTATATCGTCTAACACTTTTGTTTAGGATTAAAACGTTCCTGAGTCAAAATGTGTGGATGAAAAATCTTTAATAGAGAGACGCTAGCCTATGATAACATGATTCTATCGCCAGACTAAAATACTTATTGTTCCAAAATTACAAATTTCATAGCTTTGAGAACCATTTAGTCTCTAAAATAAACAAAAACTATACTACAGGGTTGAACCTTCTTTCCCACTCATAATATCTTATGGTGCACCAAGCATCACATCAAAAAGATACAGTCAAATATTTTCAGAAAATGATTTCATATATTGACGAATGGAACAAAAGTTTCAACGAAACTTACCTTTTCCCCCATGCACTGAAAAAATAAAACAGTAATGCGTTTTAAAGCACTTATCTTTCCAAATAATAAATTCATATCTGATTATGATCGTTCACCTGACTGTTTTATTGTTTGATGATTGGAAAATAATTTTATGCATCATCCAACCCTTTTTTTGTCCAACTTTTCTTAGCTAAAAACCATTGTATTGTTTAGTAATTGTGAAATTGTGCTTACTTAGGTACTCGTATTAATTAGTTTGCGTTAAATAGTCTCCTGTGTGAAACCTCAGCTTTTTACCTATGTAATATTTCGTTACAAAGAAATATTTAATGTGCGAAATTCTGACCTTTGTATTGTAGAAAAATATGCCACGTATCGTTGAGCTCTATCAATATTTGCTACGTTAACTATAAATACTTGAGAAGTTAAATATGAAGGTTACGGTAACATGTATGCCAACTCACATATTGGTATTATTTGCTTGGTTGTTGTCCAAGTAAATCTATGTAATAGCTCACACACTTGAAATACTTGCTTAATGTAAAATATACAAAAATTGATAACATATGAGATGTGTATTGTATAGTTGACATTGACGCAATAAAAGGATTAAAACGTTATGGTACATTTTTACACATCAAATTCCATATCAATGGGCTGGAAACTACAGCTAAACTAAATTTCTCTTAAAATAAAATATGTAGAGAAAGATATTAATAAATCGAAACCTACCTCTTCGAAATCCTTAATCTGAAACAACAAAAATAAACGTGAAGTTATTAACTTCAACTTACAAAAGATAAAAATTCGGTTTAATCTAATAGTTACGGATTCTAATATCTTTTAACGAGGCTTTTACGGAGACTGTTATTCTATATTCAAAATTTATTCTGAAAAAGATAATGTAAGATACACATTTGATTGCACTTATTCGATTTGGAAATAGGTACAGAATACCAAAAAGATCACATTGATCCGTACATCTCTTTTATCCTTCACTCAACGGTGATGTTAGGGCCAAAATGTTAACCACCATTTAGTCTCCTGCCAAAAGGCTCATGTGGGTAAATTTTAGCGATTAAGCATTATATTGTATTATAGTATTTAAACAAGTAAAACAAATACAGAAAAAGAGAATATGCTTGAAGCATTCTCAGCTTGCTGAACTACACGTTTTCGGTAAGAGATTGTTTACTGTTTGACGTTTTTTTTTGTTTTTTTCAGTTTCCCGCGGCTGTAAAAATGTTGCTGTATCCGATTCTATACATTTTGTTCTTGTTCCTTTCTCTATATTATTCCACGATATATCAGAGCTTAAATCAAACAATGAACAACTTAAATAAAATCCCGACATCAGATGATCTACCAAAGATGACAAAATGAAATAGTAAAAGACAACCAATCATTTTAATATGGACATTTGCATGTTTACTTTTCAGGAACTCCAAGAAAATTGTCACAATGTAAAAATTAAAGTTGTTGTACTTGTATATTTTTAATGGAAGGACAATCCTATAATTTTAGCAACGTTGAGCCAAATATTACTTCAAGTATGTCATGAAATACTAACTACTATGTAATCACATGCCCTGATTGTCCCTTACCCTAACCCTAACCCTAACCCTATGCCCTGATTGTCTGATTTTTTATATTTGCTACATCGTTAACATCCCCTGATCTTGAAGGTTAGAGTACATCAACCTATCACAAACGTTCCACAGGTATGGCAAACATAACTAAGTTAGCATTCGAAGGTTAGAGTACACCAACCTATCACAAACGCTCCACAGTTATGGCAAACATAACTAAGTTAGCATTCGAAGGTTAGAGTACATCAACCTATCACAAACGCTCCACAGGTATGACAAACATAACTAAGTTAGCATTCGAAGGTTAAATACATCAACCTATCACAAACGCTCCACAGGTATGGCAAGCATAACTAAGTTAGCATTCGGACATTTGTGGAAGACATTGTTGTCGGCATCATGTTTCATACTTAAACCTACCATTGCCATTATATTAACTATGTACATCTAGGACTTATTCAATGCAAAAGAGAACTTACGTCTTCCTCAGTTGGTTCAAATTGTCCCTCATCTGTTTTACCATCTGATCCGTCTGTGTGATCACCTTTTCCGTCTGGTTTATCACCTGATCCGTCTGGTTGATCACCTTTTCC